ATTCACGCAAAGCCTACAAGTAGCGTGAAAAAATAAATAAATATTATTGTCTGTTATTTCACTCTTGCAAGTTTTTTGGTTATCTCAAAAGGTGAGCTATTTTTACAGGTGTAGTACTAATATTTCAGCCAAAATAATTTATTGATTATCTAGGTATTTGTATATGTGAATTGACAGGACTCTTTTTCCCACATGCCATAACTAATACTAGCAGAGAAGTACACTGTAGATGTAGATAGTAACTGCTTGGATGTAACTAATAGACAGCTTCCTACTTTGGTAGGAAGAATGAAACTCAAGTAAATGTGTAAAAAGACAATCTCATTAAATAAATATATCCTTTAAAACTTTAAATTCATCCCAGATAAGCCATGTTTTTCTTGTTTCTTTATAGTAGCTTTAGGTTTATGAAAATTAATGTTGCTATATTACCTTGATATTTTTTCATGATAAAATAACTGCTTTTCCAGAGAAGAAAAATGCAGACTGAACCTAGCCAGACTCCAGTAAAGTGCTCATTCACAAGGGTGGGCTTGATGTTTCACTGAGTACTGAACTAATCTAGTAATTTCAGTCTTAGTAGCCTCTCCTAGTTAACTTCCACTTGCAGCAGGGCTGTAGTGGTTACCCAGGAGTCTTTGTGCTGCCATATTTAAGTGCTGTAAATGCATCTTGGGAGTTGCACTTTCAGTCTGTTTTAATTTGTGGCTGTCAGACTTGGATGTTGTAATGACGCACCAGTGACTCGTGCAGAGGCAGTCACGTAGTTAGTCCAAGCAAGACTACGCAGAACTTTGGAGGAGTTTGTCAGAGCTGTGTAGCGGGGCAAGAGTAGAAAGTTGCATGAGGTAAGCACAAAAAATGCTAATGCGTATTAGAGAAAATAATTTCAGCTTAACCACACAGGCTGTGATGAGTTGTGATGGTAAGGCGCTCAGTTACTAAAATAATGGACCAAATAGTTACCATAGGTAGGGTTATGATAAGGTCAGTGAAGAATTAAAATTATTGACCTGGCTCTGTTTGTAGCATGTATAATATGTGGGTACAACTATGGGCTGTGCATAACAATTCAATGAACTTTAACTAGATAGGAAACTAAATTGCCTGTGCTGTTTATTATGAGGTCATTCAGGACTAAGGAAACATTGTGGTAATGCTATTGTGGCCATCATTATCTAAAGATGATTCAAGACTGATTGGGAAAAATTAATATGCATACATATATTTGATTAGGCAAATCAAATCAAGCATATTTGATTAGGCAGACTGCTAGAGTGGGGGAAAACAAAGTTTGGAGGGTCAAAAGGTCTTTTCAGGTTTGTAAAGTAGTAACCTTCATGAATAAACATGACCTCAGGAGAACAACCTCTGACAGGCAGATAATTTGTTGTCTCTGGAACATGGAAGAGGTTACCTGGAGGCTGGAGTGTGATTATCTGTTCAGAGTATTCTGATTTTCACTCTTACTATATATTCTATTCATTTAGTGGTCACTTCACAACCTTATATACTAAAGTATATAAGTGTCTACTTGTAGTTAATTGTTACTTTAGAAGCCGTGGTCTGCAAAGTACTTAATCATGAGTTGAAGAACTCCATTGCCTAAAGCTACTTTTAAATACACAAAATAAAAATAAATACACTCTTTGCTTTAAACAGAAGTTCTCGGTGAAAGAAAATGTCCTTCAGTTGTTCTTCCCTTTGGGCAATTTATCCAGCCCAAATGCAGCAGGGAGAGTCTGAAAGAAGGACATGGCTCCTAGCAATAGTTACCTCCGCAGAGCTGCTTAAGCTGCTTTGCCTGGCTTTAAAGTTTTTAGTTTGCCTTTGGATTTTTCTGAGAAGTTGTATAGGGAGAAATTCAGAGTGCAGGTAGTTCAGAGTGAATTATTAGTTTGTACAGAAATGTAAGCCACGGGCATTGGCCTAACTGCGCTGTTATAATCTATATGTTTTAAGCTTAGGTTTGCCAGGAGCCTGAAAAGATGCCCTTTGCATTCGTTTATACCAGTCAACCAAAACAGAGGCTTGAGGGCATACAAACCCCAATGGATGTTTTGGCCTGACTTGGAAGAACTGCTGGTAGCTTAGTCAGTAAAGACTTTTGATAGTGATTTTCATGCATTTTAAAATTGTACTTGGTTTTGGTTTTTGAGTTTCCTTTTAAATCTCCATAAAAAGTCACTGGTTTAGCCTGCAGAAGTTAGTCTAGACAATTTCTAATAAGCAACAATATATTAATGCTATTACTGTCACTAACTTGAAAGAAAATGACTGCAAGTTTTTAGGTGAATGATAATAATAGTGAAGCCTGCTTTCCTACTTCTTCATATCTTACATAACTACCACATTATGTCTGCTCCCTTCAGTGGTTTCCTTCACATTCTTTACTCTTCACACCCCTAAATCCCCCCCCAGCTGTTGCTTACAGACACTAAATCCTCTTTCAGTACTCCTCTTCCCTCCAGTATCCCCACTTCCTCTTCCAAGCCCTCACTGTACTAGTTGGCCAAAAAACAGGCACCTGGTGAGGTGCTCTGTAGACTTTCCCATAATGATGGCACTCATTTCAGTCTCCTTACTCAATCTAGCTGTCAATTTTTGTGAAATTTGCAGGAAGCCAGTATACTTGAGATCTCAACCATTCTATCATATTCGGTTACAATTGACTAAAGGGTTCAAAAGCTATTGTGGAACCACTTGACAGATGGATTAGATGGGCCAACCTCATAAGCCGCATATCTTTAGGAAATGAGGCTGAAACCACTGATCATTCTTTTCCAGCAGTAACCAAGAAGTATTTATTTCTTCTTGATCTATTTCTGAACAAAACAAGATCTGTACCCATTCTTTCTTCTATAGCCAAACTTTTAAAACCTGGGTGTAATATTCTGATTAGATAGTACCATTAAAGGCTTAAACTCTGTTTTCAAACTGTAAATCATTACAGTTTCATTTATGTGTAGCTTACAAATAACATGGAACAAACGGTAGGAAGGAGCTTCTGAGAGAGCAAAGAAGAATATGCAAACTGCTCTCTTTCAAAATGTGAGATACCCTAAGAGCAGCAAATCAGCTCTTCCTTCTGGTTTGTAAGGGTAAAAATGTGGCTTTATGTATTCTTCTGCCTTCCACACCACTGCCTCCCTTAGAGGAGGGATCGTTCGTGTAAGAGAGCGTGGAGGAAAGTGCTACAATAGCCACACAGGTATTCACGCTCTGGGTTGCACAAGAGCTCCTGTTTGGACACCGCTGAACCCAAGTTGTCTCTGTGCATTTATGTCACTGCAGGCCAGAATTTATAAGCCCTTTTGGCACCTGGTGTTCTGGAAAACGTGATGTTAATGGTGAGCTTGACTGGTAGGATTAGTGCTTATCCAGAACTAATAAATCCTCCTGCATAAATATTTCTGCTCTGTGTTTTCAAATACATTCCATAGTACCCATGTTGTTAGGGCTTATTTATTATTTGCTCATTATCCCAGTATTTGTGTTCAGTATCCCAGGTAGCAGAGGACTGACTATAATGAGAGAGAGCAGAAATCGAAAGCAGTAAGCCATAAACATAATCATCCCCGAGACAGACGTAGAGACTCCCATGTTTCTGAGCGGCCACAAAATACTGATTATTGTGACTATGTGGTATACAAGTAGCAGTGGTAGTCTGCCATGGCCTACAAGTGTCAAAAGTGGCCTGTCTAATAGACAGCTGGGGGATATGTAGATTAGCTGCTAATCATGCAGCTGCCCTGGCACAGAGCAGTACGTACTGGGTAGCAGTGAGTCATGAGGTATGTTGGTAATAGGTGCCTCTAAGGACTTCTGCAGGCCTGGCAAGGAGGTAGGTATGGGGTAGTGGTTGAACAAGGGATATTTAGAGCATAAGGTGTTAAGTATGGGTGCTGGAGCCTGTAAGAAGTCACTGATACTATAAGACAGCTTAGAATTAAGATGCTTAAGTTGGGATCACTAGGTAAGGTTTGGGAGTTTAGAACAAGGGGCATATGAGAAGAGCTTTGACACTTGGCAGTGTCTGACACCCTCCTCTGTCTCAGATCTTTCCTGTTGGGTCTGCTGGATATTGAGGTACGTTAGGTCCTGTTAGCTATGAAACAGAGTAGAGATAGAGGAAACAAAGCCAAGTAAATCTGTTTCTTGTGTTGCTCCCATAGAAAAGGAGAAAAATATATTTTTCCTAAGCCAAAAACTTTGGGTGCCATTAATATAAAATCTTCAGATTACATGGAAAGGTTTAGTTGTTTTACTAGACCAAAGCAGGAACCTGGTACAGTATAAATGTCTGATGCTCATATGGCATGTACACAATATGGAAAATCCAGTCATGCCCCCCTACAAATATATCCCTGCAAGAAAATTCATAACATACACGCTGGCAAAACCAAGCATTTGCCAAAGTTGTTAAGGTTTCCTAGAAGGGAAACCTAGAAGGGTTTCCTTTCTACATTAAGGTCCAGGTTCTCCGTTATAGTAATAAAGCTGTGGTTTATATCAAGCTGGGAGTCATTAACTGATAGTCACTGTGAATCTTGCAGAAACATACCCTTTGCAAATTGCCTTTCAAAGGCAGAAGAATCCCCAGGTTATTTTTAGGGTTGTTTGTTTCATTTTGCCTTTCTTGGGAAAATTGCCAGATATTTGATAATAAAGTCAGAAATGAATTGTTAGCATCTATTTTAAAAGAAGAAATCTGATATTACTGTTTTAGTCAAACTTTTTGGTTTTGTTGTTCCTTTCTTTTACTGTCTCATGTATGACTTTTCTTCTCCTTTTCCTCAGTGCTTGTTATGACATTCCTGTCTTGTCTGTATGTTTCATTATCTTATTAAAAGTAACGTTGTATTAAAAGTTAAGAATATCACAGTGTGTACTGACTTCCTAGGTATTATTTAAAGCCACCTTCTTGCTGATTGGTTTATCCAAAATAGTTATAAGCTGGGTTGTGAAGAAATGTTCTCTCTCTCTTTTTCTTCTTGTAGACTGCAAATGATAACCTGCATACAGATGACATGCCTGAATTCAGAGGAGATAAAGAAAACTATCTCTGTGCAGTGTGCCTGGATGTTTATTTCAATCCTTACATGTGCTATCCGTGCCACCACATCTTTTGTGAACCTTGCTTAAGGATGCTTGCCAAAGACAATCCAGCCAGCACTCCATGTCCACTGTGTCGCACTACAATTGCCAGAGTCTTTTTCCAAACAGGTATAAAAACTAAGCTTTTTACAATATAGAAAAATATTTATATTTTTTTCTTCATGTTTTTCTAGTCTGAATAAATGCGTAGTTAAAAGCATAGTAAATCCCTGGCAACCAAGTATAGTCATAAAAAATATTCTCCTGTCTAGTGTGCAGTGGGATATATCCAAAATCCATGCAGAGCCAAATTTCGTCTCATTATCCATTGTGAGGATTTCTTTGCATTCAGCTCTTCCTAGAACTATTCCATGTAGACTTATCTTAAGTGGTAAGAAACTACTCTGGAGGTATATTTCAAAACTTTTTGTGGTTTGAAGTGGCGTCCTGATATTTTATACTTCTTTAGTTTCCTCTTCCTAAATAATCACAAACTCCAAAAATTATAAACGTGCATTTTCTCAAAATACCTCACTAAAAAGGCATTTTAAAAACTATTAAGTTCATGACAAAAAAATTGTTCTTTTCTTGGTTTTATGACTTTAATTTAGCTGTCGGTGAAAATAAAAGCTGACAGAACTATAGAATTCTAACTAACACTGTTCTAAATTCTGCCCTCCTCCCCTCTTTACACCCTCACCTTTAGTACTCCTGACTCCTACTCCTGCAGTAGGAAAACATTCTTGGAAAGTGATTGTTGTTTGAGGTCAGAAGAGATGTGGGAATAAGAAAGGCTAAGTAGTGCTATTGATAGTATACATGGAACAGCATGGGTCAGTCTTAACACCTGCAGCCTAAAAAGGTAAATTCAGGGAGAATGGATAAAATTTCAGTATGATATATGGAGTCAGGCCCTTTACAGCACTTAAAACTATGCATAGGTGGGTCACAAAGTAATGGAAATGACTCAGCCATACGGAACATTTGTTTGTTCTTGCATGCTGCAGAGATCATGCAGACATCCTGCTTAAACTGGGAGAGTGCTGTGGTGATGACAGGTGAGGACGCAGATTCTGTGTAATTAAGTTATGATTTTGCACTGAGCAACAGAGCTACCCAGCTTCTATTTCTGGTGTGGACAGACTCTTCCATTGAAGACACACACTGAAGAGGCACAACCTTGTATAGTTGGATGACAAACTAGCTTGAGGAACTGAACTGGCTGAAGAAGAGCTCACTGGGATGGGAAGGAGGCATTTTTCAGCCATACTCGTTTCCCAGGATGGTTCACTCCAGTGCTGCAGGTGGCAAGAGCCAATAAGCCAAGGATAGGAACTGACTGCAGCAGAAAAACTGCATGTGAAACTGAAGCCTGAGCACTCTCAGCGCCTTGCCTGTCTGGTGTATAGAGGTTTCAAGCTGTTCTCACTTCATTTGCGTAATGCTTGATGCTCCTTTCGATTTGATCCACAGATGAAGTGGGATTCACTACTACAGAATGGCTTTTCGTTGCTGTAGGGCTGTGAATAAAGAAAAGCTATTTACAGAATCACAGAATCACAGAATCGTTGAGGTTGGAAGGGACCTCTGGAGATCATCTAGTCCAACCTCCCTGCTCAAGCAGGGTCACCTAGAGCATATTGCCCAGGATCACATCCAGACGGCTTTTGAATATCTCCAGCGAAGGAGACTCCACCACCTCTCTGGGCAACCTGTTCCAATGCTCTGTCACCCTCACAGTGAAGAAGTTTTTCCTCAGGTTCAGATGGAACTTCCTGTGGTTCAGTTTGTGCCCGTTGCCTCTTGTCCTGTCGCTGGGCACCACGGAGAAGAGCTCAGTCTTCTCTTCTCCAGGCTGAACAGGCCCAGCTCTTGCAGTCTTTCTTCATAGGAGAGGTGCTTACAACAGGGTTGCTACAGTAAAGTACCACTGGGAGAGCCGAAAGAGGATATGGATGCTTGCTAAAATGTATTTGCAAACCTTTTTAACGCCTTTGAAGTACTGTCATTTAAGTGAAATATTTCCAGGATTATTTGTAGCAATTGAGTACTTAGAAAAGTATGTATTTTTACTGAGGAAATGGATTTGTGTGGCTAAACTGTAAATACCGTGTCAAGAATAGAGAGTCATAACAAGTATACAATATGTGTGTAGAATTAACAACTTCAGATCAGAGAAATCCATAGGACCTTACTGCAGCTATTTGCATATTCCATACAATTTATAGAGTATAAGCTTGACTTAGCAATATATTTGAAAACAGATACACTAAATTTACTTTTACATCTGTTACGAAAAATATTTTCTAATTTGCCAATACATAACATGTTGAACAGCTTATAAATCAACCAAGAAATATTGATTATGATATCATATCCTTAGTGAGATTAATAACATCAACATATTAGGAAATACGAATGGTGCAGGACTAATGTAAAAGGTAGTAAATATTTTTTACTCAGGAGGTTTATTAAGTCTTTTTAAAGTTATGTTAAAGTCACTGCTGTTACAGGTCTGTGCAGCCAGGGAAGCAAAATTGCTAGCATTCTTTATTTTTTCCACTAATATTACAGCCTGGCTATCTCATTTCTCTCACTGAGTGTCCTTTTGTTGTAAAATTGCATTTTATTTTACAAGGATATGTCAAAAAAAATTAAGGATATGTGCAGAAGTTCACTTTTTAGCTAGTACAGTTTTGCGAACTGAATTATAACTAAAATAGAAGGATGCATGTAACAAGTCAAATAAAAAAGATGAAGGCAAAAAGATCCATTAACCACCAACTATAAAGAAAAAGAGTGCCTAATCCAGAGCTTCAAAGCCAAATGTGACTCGTGAGGATACTTAATCTGGCCTGTTGCCCACATCAAGGGAGCCTCTTCTACTGGTTCCCTTGAGGGTGAGTTCCAGTCCAGATGGGTTGTGCTGGCAGTGTCTGTGGTGCATTCCCGTCTTTCTTAAAGGACGAAAAGCCCTTCCCCTCAGGATAAACTAACCTCTGGTCAGATGACAGAGTGTCCAGGACACACCTGAGAAAGAGGATGGAATTTGATCTGATTACAGCAACCCACTTCCAGGAACTCTTATCTTTTAAATGCTTCTCATATTAGGTGAAATAATGATCTTGGGATGGGCTCATGCACTTTGATCCCGGTTACAGTTTGATTCATGTAAAATGTTTCCCAGAAGTGCCAGATCTGGCACCCACGTGTAAGAAATCTAAAAAACAGAGATTGAGCGTACTATTTGTCCACAGTAGATCCAGTCACGCGGCAAGGAAAGGGTCACATACAGAAGGGTAGCTGGTCTGGCCAGCCTGAAAGCCTGTCCAAGCAACTTTCTAAAAGCCAGTAAGAGTTGTCGTCACTGCGTTTTCTGAAAAACAGCAATTAGATGCCTCACCAGAGATTTCAGTGGTTAAATTTGGGCAATCAGGTTGAAAGAATTGAGTCAATTTTTATGGCCGTTAGAAGGAAACTAAAACACTCTCTGTTGATCCTGCAAGAGGCAAGCAGAGTCTCATCAGAGGCTATTTCTCTGAATGCTGATAGTACTTAATCAAAATATATTCAGTGCCATATATAGCTCTTACATAAAAATTGAAAACTGCTATTGAAAAAATATGCAATTTGTTCCAATTATATTTTGAAGAAAAAATGGCCTCTTTCCCTTCACTGACACAGGTTTATAGGTGCAGTAGCACAGTTCTTCTCACATAATGAGATAGAAGCATTTGGGCATTTCTGTAGTCTGTGTGCTGTGCAGCCAGTTCTGTCTGCATTCTGACATGGTGAAATATGGAAAGGCACGTTGAAAGAAGTTTTAGAATAAGGCCAGCATATTTTTGACTTTAAATCTACAAATCCCTTCCTCTTAGGTAGCAAGAGCTACTGCAACGAAGGGGCTCAGTAGCTTGCAGTCAGATTTTTTTTTTCTTTCTGGAGCCTGCTCTCACAAAAAGCTTAGCTTTCTCAGATTTGTCAGAGAAGAAGATTCATCTCTTCAAGAATTAATGAACATTGATTATTAAAAAGGTATGCAAAATTGCAACAAAGTAGTAATAAGTATAGTAATAACACATAAGCCTTTCCAAAGATTTGTGAAGGCCTCTCTTTTCTTTCTTTTTTTTTTAAGGTACAGAATGAATTGTGGAAACAACCACTATTATTAGTATTTAAATGGAGCCATGATAGCTGGAAGGGAGAATGCTTGTTCCAGCAACTGAAATCAGGGTTTTAAAAGTTTTTCCTGTTAACTGTTAGCTTGGCAACTGTCTGTTATCATCAAATCACTTCTTTTCCGTGGTAGGATAATATGTTCATCTTTTGAATCTATTTTTCATTGATACACGACTATGGATAGGTTCATTTTGCCATTTTGGGGTTGCAATCCATGTAGCTATTTCCTCAGCTCTTCCAGTGTGTCATTAATCATTCTAAGAATGTTAAGTAATAATTCCTATTAATGCGCAGTACATAAAAATTATCCAGATAATTTTTCAGACTTGTCCATCTCCTTCCATTGTTACCAGCTGTTCTTCACTGATGATGTTAAAGCAAAATATAGCCTGAACAGAGAATTAATATTACAGTCAGATTCATTCATTCAAAGAGGTCTTCATTGTCTTGTAACTTAAGTAGCCTGATTTATAATGCGTTTCATTCATGTAGTGTTTGACATCATCTTTCCTGAATGCCTTAGTCTGGAGGTATAGAATTAGAAGAGCATGTTTAAGACTTGTTCTTGCTGTATTTGGACATGCTTAATATAATTTTCAGATTTAAATGGATATTTTTAATGTGATTTTCAAAAACTTGAGATCTCATGGTATGTAATGATCAGAAAAATATTACACAGTAGATAAGTCAATCTTATTTTGTAGAATTAACATAGGAAAATTATTGCTGTAATTGCAGCATTAATATATATGTTTTTTCCCATTAATTATTGTAGAACTGAACAACTCTACCAAATCTTTTTTTCCTACGGAATATATGAAATTAAAAGAAAGCTTTCAAAGATCAAATTCTGCAAAATGGCCTCTACCAAGCTGCAAGAAAGCTTTCAGAGTTTTTGAAGGTAAGAAAATCATTTCTATATCATTTTGGACATGAAGAATTGCATGCTGCCAGTCAGCTAGATACCAGTGTAAATTAAAGGCTTCATGTAGGTACTCTTCCCCTCGTTAGATCGGCGTGGCGAGGCCCCGGCACACCGACACTGTGTATTCCATCTGACCTCGGCTGTCGGGCTGACCCTATCTTTAGACAAGTTGAGCCAATTAATGAATTTATTTTTGAGAAAGTATTTATATTACTCTTACCGTAACAGTATTCCACTAAAATTGGCTTAAACATTAAAATCTTAAGCACTGAAAGGCTCATGGACAGTAGTATACAGCAAAACTCTGTGAAGTTTTTGTTAAATGATTTGCAATATTAAATTGAAATTTCAATATACTTAAAGAATGAAAGTAATTTTTAAACAAAATATAGCAATCATGCAATTGAAGAACCAGGCATCTAAAGAGGATTGAGGAGTGTGCCAAGTAGTATTCGCACCAGAGACAATCGGTGTGGTGTTGCTTGTAATACTATTTTATCCTTATTCACTATTTGACTTATATTTTAAACCAACCTATAGATGTCAATAGCTTTTGCCTCTATGCGTTTTGTATGGCAGCTGTCTGAACAAAAGAAACTAGAAGGCCAGTAAGTAGCTAGGGAGTAGTTGTAGGGGAGGAATGAAACTAATTATGTCATTACAGAAATATGATACAAAAGTATGATGCAAAGGAATTTTTCAGCAAGAATTGATGATAGATGAAATACAGAATTGGTTCAGCTGGGAGATGGCAAACTTGAAGAAAAAAAATGTTTTTGCAACATGATTTTTAGAAGTGTTCAGTGATAAGGGAGGAGGAATGATGAAAGAGGGTGCTGAGAATGAACAAAGTTTGAGACTGTGAAGAAAAATTAAGGTTTAGTCAGTGAAGAGACAATGGAAGAGAAATAGACAACAGATAAAAAATTGATAAGAAAATTAATAGATTCAAAATATTCTGAATACTTCTTAAAATTACTTTTTCAGGTTGGTTATTAGTGCACTTGCCACAGAAGGATTAAATAGTTCAAGTTGCTATTTGAGTTTGCCTGTTTTTGCTTGTCTGCACAGTCATGGCAAGGAGAGGTATCCACAAGCTAAATTCACTGTTAGGATACAGTTCACCAACATGAAAATGAAAATAAATGTGACTAAAACCCCCCACTTCAAGGGCAAACATATGAAAATTACAGTAAGCGTAATATGTATGACATCAACATGCATATGGAAAACTTACTGTGGGAAAAGTGTGCACTGTAAAAGGAAAGGAAGACATGTCATCGTCTAGAGCGTACGTAAACTGTGTGTGTAGATCCCTGACAGGCTCTCACAGGGAGAGCACGCAGCCTCATTTCCTGGTGTCAGTCTGCAATACTATGTGGGCTGTGGTCAGGAAGAGCAGGGATGGTGAAGGAGAAGCGAGTTAAAGGAGCCAATGTTTCGTTTACACACAGGGCTAGGTTGCACCCTGAAAAGCAAGGATATGTATTTAAATCATCGTATATTATTTTCATTTCATCATCCTCCTTTTAATTTTGAAATAAAGTGATCCAGTTTTAAAGTAGGAGAACAGGTTTCGCTGTAAGTCATTTTTAAAAACTGTTATATGACATCCTGCCCGTTTGGTGTTTAGTGTGTTATGGTTTAGAGGAAGGTAGAAAAAGCAAATAATGCACTTGGTCACTTAAAAAAAATTCCATTTGCAGCCTGGCCATCAGAATTCCTTCCTGACTACCACGGTCAAATGACGTTTATATCATGAAACATGAGATTAGTTACCCCAGATTTAGTATGCATCCCAGCACTTAGACTAGCCAATTAGCTTATATTTGAATATCGATAATTATAAAATAGTCACAGATGTCTGGACAGAGAGAGTATGCTTTCTAAGCTTATTCTGCCCTCCCACAGTCCTGTTGCTTCCTGATTCATTTACTTCCAGGGAAATAAACAGCCCAAGATAGAAAACACACGTTGTTCTAGCTTTGCTCTGAATTTGTGAGGGGGATTAGGCACAGTAGGAGTTGAATGGTTTTCATAAAGTTGATAAATACAATTTCATATTTTAAAAATTAGCAATATCTTAGTTATGTGAAATACCAAATATTAAAATGTGCGTGCATGCATTTAATGTAGTTTTATAGATTTAATTATTCCTTTCTAAAGCTTTCTCTTACTTGTTTTTCCTTTCTAGTAACCTGATTCTTTGATGAGATATATTAGCTAGCTTTATGGTTTGTGTTTTAATCAGTAAGAGCTGAACTGTTAATCTGTAAAATAGCAAGAGGTAACAGTCTTCACACATTTTTATTTGGTTGTTTATTTAATATTCAGGGTATTGTTAATTTATGAGAGAGACATCTCATAATTTATGTTTTTGAATTCAAACTAATAGTAGGAAGAGTTGCTTTGCAAACATTTTAATTGCAAATAATAATCCCCACTGAGTTCCAACTTGCTTTGTTTGAAAAAATCTCATCTTTATTTCTTGTCCAGTGTAAATCTGTAAATTCTTTGTCAATTTTAAACATTTGTAATTTTGATTGATATTTCAAACAGCAATATTTCAGAAAGCAAACTTCAAATGAGAAGTTGCTTCCTTTCTGTCTTGAACGCCTAAGAGATGTTATTGTAGTGATTAACAATAAGGGCCCAAATGAATGCTGAATTCAAGCAGGACTTTTGTGTATTATTGTATTTTTTACAATACTTTTGTGTATTATTGTATGTAAGCTTAAAACACAGGCTTTTTTGATTATACATATATGTAGAAAAGTCAGAGAATAGCTACAAAAAACAGAATAGATGATCATATTTCTAACGTTGGAAAAAATATTGAAAGAGCAGTATGAAGTTACTATCTGTAAGAACTCTGACTACTGCAAGAACTTGTATCTTGTATTTCCTTCTTTTAAGTGCTAAATGATTTCTGGTTTATTATGTATGTTCTAATCCCAATCCATTTAGGATTTATGAATTTTTAAGATGAAAGTACTGATGACTCTTAGATAGAAGTGCCAGTAGTCATGCTGACATTGATCAGCAAGAAGCACTATTTGGCTCAGAGTTGATTGTTTAGGACTACAATTCTTAGAAACCACTTGCTTCAACTGATGAAATGTGTGTCAGTTAGTGCCATTATCACATTTTGGGATTTCTGCATTGTTTTGTCTGTAGTTTCAAGATCTTCTTCTTATGTCACATGCCTTAGGATGTCAAAAAAAAAAAGCTAGTTATTACAATGGAGACCAGTAGCTCCTAACCGCTCTCACTTCTAAGAAGGGATGCCCTTATACAATCAAATCTTGTGTCCCATACAAAAGGCTTCAGGGCAGGTCTTCTACAAATTTGCACAGTAATCGGTTGCTTTTCTAGACCTTTGGCAGACAAGGTTGTTGGACATCCTAAAAAGCAATTACTGTGCACTGCCAGGTAAATTGGCTGCACGCTTGATTTTTTTCATGCACAGAGGGCCTCTGCATCACATGCACAGTGAGTTCAACCGATCAGGTTTGCCGCATGTGGCCATAACTGCTCATGCACAATTTATCTGTCTGGGACTGTTGCAGATTTCAACATTTAAACTCCAAAAGCCCTACAACCAGTAAAACAGACATGAGAGTGAATATAAAAATGGTTTCAGGTAAGGCTGATGTCCAACTTAAATGTAGTTTTCACTTGTAGTATGTTTTTTTTTAAAGCCTATCTGCTAGCAGAAAGTATGACTTTTGATTTTTTGAGGGGAGGAAAAGGGGTAGAAAGATGTTCCAGGCCATCATGTAAGTTTAGTCACACATGGAGATGCTGGCAGCTAGTGAGAGCCCACAGGTGGGCCTAGAAGGGCAAGAGTTGAGAAGTACCCAAAGAAAGCAGAGGGAAGGTGAGAGGAGAGTAGGATGGGTAGGATGGGTAATGAGGTTTGGGAAGATGGTTGGGCTTTGCAATGAGAAAGGCCTTGAAACAGGATGGTAGAAGTGTGAGTGTAGGAAAACTGGAAGTTCTGATGTGGATTCTGGGGCAAGAGGAGTTTGGAAGTTGAGGGCTGTAGAAAAGAATGAGATTTTGATCTCTGAAACAATAGGTTTGTGCAGCTGAGGTATCTGAGGTAGGAGGGTAGGGAGGTTTTGGGTTAGGAGAAGGAGAAAACTCTGGCTCTGAGAAGGGCAGTGACTGGCCTGAGTGGCCTTGGTTTTGGGAAGGAACTGGATGCCTTTGACACTTGAGTTTGGTAGAGAGTTTCAGACTGAGTTAGGGGTTAGGACAGGAGACTGGGAAATCAGTGTGACACGTTTGCAGGCATTCACACAGGATGACTGCCATCCTCTCAGAAATCTTTCTGGTAATATATGCTCTTTTCTGTTGTTGGAAATATAGGAGTTATAATTCATTTTAACTAGCAAATCTTGCAATTTAGCTGTTATATTAGCATAACCAGAATATGATACAGCTTGCACACACACTGGGGAAGGCTGGTAGGCATGCAGGAAGTTTGGGATAATACCTCCTCTGTGAAAGCAGTGTGGAAACACTGTGTCCTTGAAACGAATACAGGCCAAACACTGGTAAACTTCATGTGGGAAATAGTGAAACAGGCAAATAAAGGCCTCTTTCAGCAGCGTACCTAAAAATAAAACCACACCAAGACAATATATATGGAAAATATGATAGAAAATACAATGGAAAAGAACATTTAGCAAACTACAGTGGATTGTCGTTGGAATCCCACTGCAGTCCATGTAGGTCAGCATACTGATATGTGGTTAGGAAAAGAGACGCATAATGAGCTGATAAAGTTTACTAATGATACTAAATTATTCAGTTCACTGATGATAGTAAATATGAACTTGACAGCTAAGAGTTATCTTTACTGGCGATTTAGAGGAGGCAACGAGCGCTCTCTCATCAAGTTTGCAGATGACAAAAAAATAGAAGGAACAGTTGATAGACCCCTGGGCAGGCCTGCTATTCAGAGAGAC